ATCAAATTGATGTCTCTCCAATTTAGAGATATTTTATTTTTATTAAAACAGTTGGAAGTTCTCTGAGGACAGACTTTTGCCCGGTGTTTGTTACAGCACTCCATGCAAGCCAGAAAAGCTCTGGAAGTTTGCAGTAGCTGAGGATGTCTCCTTTAGAACTTAGTAAAGGTTATTTGCTAGTGTATTTATTTTTTTTAATTGAGTGTCTTTAGATTCTTTAAACCATTCAGCTCGCATCCAGACTTGTCTTTTAAGATGGAATAAACAAAGGACCTTTTCACTTTCACGGAGCTCTTGAGATTCTACACAGCAAAAACTTAGGCGATGTTTCAACTGTCTTCAGTGTTAGTACGGTGAAGACAAATACGCCAGAGTACTTTTAGTTCTGACTTACTTCCCGGAGGCAGCTACTGTAGTAGGTGTTCCACATAATTAAGGCTGTCCAAACTGCATCTCTGTGAGCTAAGTAACACATGTAGATAATTATGTTGCGTTCCCAAGAGAAAGATGCCTGATGCTGATCTGACTGGTGCTAGTATGAATGAGTTTAGCATTTACAATAGTTATCATTAGTAGTAATACCTAGTTTATAAGAATGCTGTTGAGAACTCTAAGTGGCAATATCAGAGTCCAGAAGCCAAGCTAATATTGCTCAAAAACCTCTCAAGGACTAAATTAAAATGTTTTTATGCTGTCACAAGAACATAATTCTACATAAGATGAAAAGATATCTGACTTTCTCTGGCATTTTGATGACCTCCCTTCCCATTGCATCAAAGTACGTTCTTGTCCTTTTTTCTTTTTTCACCACAACATACATTGCATGAGAAGAAAGAAAATGCTGTTAACTCTTTTTAACAAAAGATGATCTGATGCATGGAACATGACTGAATGACTGAATAACCGTAGATGCTGCGGCTAGAAGCATGTGGCATTGAAAATCTGTGGCAGGTGCCTTAAACTGTTGAATGGTACATCGTTTGTGGTGTGGAGTATTCACATCCCATTCCACTGAAGTTTCAAATGGAAGCTGCAGTATAAGTGTGTCTGTGTTCATACATAAAAGCCTCTACAACCTTGCCAGGCTAATGATACCACCTTTCCTATGACAGAATAGTCCCGAAATTGTTTTCCTTTAACAGATCCTTTTTCCTGTGAAAGAACCTGATTTCTTCACAAAAGCTTCTGTATTTTTGTCCAGGTTTCCAGCTCAATATGTAAACCTTCAGGCTTTCAGTAAAAAATTCTAGAAATGAGGTTTGTTTCTCATTACACTGTAACATGTTGGAGCCTGATCTGAATTTAGGCTTCCTGCACTGTAATATAAAACAGTAGAAAGTAAACCTAAAGGTATTGTTTACTCTTTGCTTCAGATGAAATCTCATTGCCTTTGGTTGTGCTGCTTTTAACAATGATTGAAGTATATTTTCTCCTCCTGTAGGGTTTGATGTTTGGTTATGCAACAGATGAAACAGAAGAATGTATGCCTCTAACAATTATTCTTGCACATAAGCTGAATGCCAGGTTAGCAGAGTTGAGGCGTAATGGAGAACTTCCTTGGCTGAGGCCTGACTCTAAAACACAGGTAAATACTTCTATAGATCAGTTGAAAACTAATTGTTTTTCTTTCCAGAAATCTTAAATGTTTTTCAAGACAGCAACTGATGGTGTTCAGAGCACCAGGATAAACTACAGGTAGCAGATAAAGCATTTCCACTGCTTATGATACTGTCTCCTTAACTGTTAGAAAATGGTTAACCTGCATCACAGTGCTAGGAGCACTTAACCACCTACCAGTGAAGAAACATTTAACCCTTCAGACCTAAGTGGTCTGTGCTCATTGAAAAAGCATCAGGAGATCTAAAGAATTTGTTTGTATTTAGGGATTCAGCTGGTCTTTGAAAAGAATGTATATTTCTGAGGCTTGTGAGTTTTGCTGGAAATCCCAAACTAAATACATATTTTGAACAACTTCATAGAAAATCAGTTTGTCCATACTGAGCAAAAAGCGACGAATGAGAAAATAGGCTTTATTTCTCATACCTTGGCAACAGTGTGAACAGTGATCATTATAACGTCAGCATTGACATTTTGCTACAGTTTTGCTCTTGGAATAGCATAACTTTTTTGATGTATAGCAGTAATACCTTTTAAAGTAACTTTGGTTTTTCTTCCTCCTTCTCCCTGTTCTGTTCAGGTCACAGTTCAGTATATCCAGGAGAACGGAGCAGTCATCCCAGTGCGTGTTCATACCATTGTGATATCTGTGCAGCATGATGAAACCATTTCGCTGGAGAATATGCGCAGAACCCTAAAGGATCGTGTGATCCAAGCTGTTGTCCCTGCACAATACTTGGATGAAAAAACTATTTATCATCTTCAACCTAGTGGACGTTTTGTTATTGGAGGACCTCAGGTTTGTGTAGTATTATTTTGGTGCTATTATCAGCTTGCCTTTGTCATTGGCTGTGTGTCTTAAAACAAATGCTCAGCTTTTGTCATGTCTGTCCTGGGGCATAAGACACGACCTGCCTAGTGGAAGTGTTAAATGCAGTTGTATGTGTGAGATGCACCCAGGGTTTCATGTGCTCTATGCCATAGCAACGTCTGAGGGCATGGTTGTATCATACGTGTGTTGTGATTAGGCAGGCAAGTTGAGCTGAATCTTACATTGCATGTGGAATGTACAGCTCAGCTCTGGGTTTCCTCAAACCCTCTCAAGTCCAGCACTGAGACATACAGTTGTTTCTTATGGAAAACACTGCTTACAGAGAGACAGACAAAAGTTTTACTTCTCTTACAATGAATGTGGGTTTTGTATCTGTATAGCTTATACTGTTCTGCCTGACACCTATGAGACCTGAGGGTGCTCATCTGTTCTGAAAATCAGCTCATGATAGGCTGCCTCTGGTGAGAAAGTAGATGTTGCTTTTGCTCTATCTAGACAATGCAGGAGCTGTGATTTGTAATTTGATCCTGTGGTTGCAGAAGTCAGACAGAAATTCCACTGTCTGTAGGATTGGGACTAATGAGATTTAGTTTTTGAAAGCAAATTCACCATTCCCAATATTTTCAGTTCCCTTCAGAACTATCACAGCAAAATCTCAAAGCTTCTTCCTGAAATTGGGTCCAGTTTTATAAGAGTTCCAAATAGACATTGTTTTACCTTTGCTGTTCAAATTAATTCATTTACTGGAACTTGTCAGAAATATTTCTAATGTGCTGTGGTTTTTTTTACGTAAGTCCATTAAAAAAGTAGGAAGGTGTTGAGATTAATCATTATAATAATGATTATACAAAAAATTTGGTTTTGTGTAGTTGAAATGGTTGTATCACTATAATTTTGTGTATCATTGACATCCTATACTATAGACAAATGGAGATGCAAACCTGAGCTGTAATCTGAGGCAAACGAACTAATGCAGCAATCATAGCTTCATACAAAAAGAAGCCTACACATATGAAATTTTTCAGGTGTGCACTGAACTGCACCCATTTAAAAATGTAATATAATTACATAGGGTAACCCAGCCAGGAATACATTTTCAGTTCTTGTAGTGGAACTAGATTGTTCATGTTTGCACATACAAACACAGGCACGCTGAAGTCTATTTCCAGGTTTTTAAACCTGTGATAAGTTTACTCAGTATGGGTCAATCTGCCTGTGGCCATGTAGCTATGGCTTTACAACTGCTATCATCACTTGTGCAATTTACAGTAGCATTGTGGCAAACAGAAAATAAGTAATTCTTTCCTTGTCTTTTTCATCTTGAACTTTTTTCACAAGAGTGTTACTCCATTTTATTTTTAACAGCGCTAGCTATAGAAGGCTGTCTAAATCTCCAGCTCAGTTCATTAAGGAAGACACATGTATTTCACTTGTGATTTTCACTTTACATTTTTGAGCATTTTTGAATTCTGGCTATTGCAAAATCAATACCTTTGCTCCTGCCACCGTTTTCCCAACAGCAACACCAGCTGGTACTGTAAGGACATTACAGCTTGTTGCGAAAGTGGCTTCCACACACTTTACAAATGCATTTGTGCTCTTTCAGCAACTTTAAAATGAGGGGTGGTTTGGTTTTTTCCTTTCACCTGAAATTCATCATCAGAATTTCATCACAAACTAACGTTTGAGTCAAGTAGAAGAACCCAAGGACAGGATCCTTTAAACAAGCTCAACTATCTGCAATTCAGATTTATAGCTCACTGCTTTTTTAGCAGACGGGAACAAACAGTGCCAAAGGTTTTCTTCTGTGTATATGCACGGTCTTTCTAAGAAAAGCTTTGACTCTCCACTTGTGTTTGCTGTGCAAACATTCCAGCAGTTAAATTTTACTGGCATGATATTCTGTAGAGAATTTCAAACCTGCCTGCACAGGTGGGACTGAATTTCAAACGTGACCATATTTCCTTTCACACCAGAAAGCTTAAACGTTTAGAAACTGGGGGGTCAGACAATTGGTCAGGTACTGATCAGCTAACCAAGATCAAATCAAAATATCAAGTAGTTGTGAGGAGCAATCAGGATAGCTGTGTAGGTAGCTAGAAGGTTATCTGCACTTCCTTATGTAATATTTTAGAATATTCATCTGTAAGTATCTGTTCTTGAAAAGAAATAGTCCTTTTTTCTCAGTTACCTATAACTGCCTACTACTCCATACCTTTTGTGTATAGTTTAAATTAGACTACCAATATTTTGGGGTTGGAAGTGGCACTGGAAGTATTAGATGCCAGCCTCTATGTGATGATCTATAACGTAGCACTGACATACCTTTTGATGGTAAATATGAAAAAGACATCTACTATTTAATATTCACACAACTTCAGATTTTGACCAAAAGATATGAAAGCCTGATTTTTATTTATTTATTAATTTTTACCAGTGTAAAATCTCTCAGTGGTTCCTATATGGCACATAGTTTGTTAAAAATATTCCTTATTGTTTGGATGTGTTGGATATGTCACTTCTAAACCAAAGCTTCCATATTGTCTAGAATATTTACTTTTGAAACAGGCAGTGCATGCTCTAGCTATCTGGGTGTAGACCTATTTGCTTGATTGGTTACCAAACACAGTCTGTGAATGGTTTATCTTATGAATCTGTCTTCAAAGAACGTTTATACCCACTGTTGTAGCTTGGTAAGACAAGTTAATTCCTTCAGCTACCCCACAGCAATCCACATATGGTGAATTTACTTACACATTGTTGTAGTCTTCTGAAGGATTCATAACCTTGTTTAAGACTTACAATAAAATGGTTGTAAAATGGACAAATTCTTTTATGGATTCAGGGTGATGCTGGTGTTACTGGTCGAAAGATCATTGTGGATACTTACGGTGGCTGGGGAGCCCATGGAGGTGGTGCCTTCTCTGGCAAAGACTATACGAAGGTGGACCGATCAGCTGCGTATGCAGCCCGTTGGGTGGCCAAGTCTCTTGTGACAGCTGGGCTCTGTCGCCGTGTTCTGGTTCAGGTATAGTTTGCTGTGCATGTTGCTTTTCTCAGAAAGGTTTTTCCTTTTCAAGTTTAACTTGAATACACATCACAGAAGACACTAGTAGAAGCAGTCTTGGTGATGGCTTGGGGTTGAAGAAAGGAAGAACCTGATGTGCTTGCTTCAATACCACTGTAGTGTCACAGCCTACCAGCTTCTTGAAGCTGGAACTTTTCATTTAGCTTTCATTTTATGGGCTGTTATTCTACAGCCCTAAACCCTCTGTCTGGCACTGTCATGGAAATGAATGCGGTTTGACTCGATAAGAGGTCTTGGTTCTCCTAAGATGAATGCTTTCTTCGGTTGGATACTGCTGTCCACTGAGGTGCCATGTTTATTTGCTAAATATCTTTTTTGCCATAGGTTTCTTATGCCATTGGGGTTGCGCACCCACTGTCCATTTCACTGTTCACTTATGGAACTTCCAAAAAAACAGAGAAAGAGTTGCTGGACATTGTGCACAAAAACTTTGATCTTCGGCCTGGAGTCATTGTCAGGTACAGAAACACACAGAAAGGAAAATATCTTGGTGATCACATCCTAGAAATGTTTATTGCAAAACCATTAGATGTTACAATGTAAGAGTCAGCCTCTTGAAGTAGCATAGAATTGTTCCATGCAGTATAATAGAGACTTTCTGTTATTCTGTCAGTCTTCACAGTTGATACTTTCTGTGCATCTACCAGTGTGCCATATCTTTTAAGACAGCAGATGTACTATTCAAGTTTCATATGAAAAATACTTTCAGCATTTTGGCCTGATATAGTATGTGGAATTCAAATAAAATAACTTCTGTATTCCAATAATTTTAAATTACTTTACATAAAAAAAATATACATTGTGTTTTACAAAAGGAAAAGTTATTTCATCTTTCTCATTTAAATTAGTAATGCTTAATAATAGTCTTTTCCTGAGGCCTATAGTACTTTTAACTTCTAACTAAACATTTAAGTTTTGTTGTCACTTCTGTTGTTCTCTGTTGGACATGTCCACTGCTATGCTTGCTGGACTAGGGGTGTGAAATGGATATCAGCATCAGGATTTCAATGGTAGATAACACGAAGTATCTTAATGTGAAGAATTTTCTCTACTTTTTATTATACACACAGGGATTTGGACCTAAAAAAGCCCATTTACCAGAAGACTGCCTGTTATGGTCACTTTGGAAGAAATGAATTCTCATGGGAGGTGCCTAAAAAACTTGTGTTTTGATATTAGCAGCCACCCTTTGAAAACAAAAAAGAAGAGGAGTCCACTAATTATGAGGATGCTTCTGAAAATCAGATCTGACAGCTTTGTGTTCAACGAAAGAATTTTAGATTTTAAATGGAAAGAAAGAAAATGATATTTTCTTGGAAATTGATTATTTTTAGCCCTCAGTGTCTTTCATTATCTAAGATATAAAGGACAGTCTGTTTTTTTTAATCAGCATAAGACAACAAAATACAGTTTACTTTTTATTGCTGCTCTGTTGGTTCTTTTGATAAAGGCAAACTATGACTCAGGTACGCAAACCAATGGCTGAATCTCAAACCTTTCGTGGGCAAAGGTGAGACGACTTTCCCAACTCTGACTAAGGATCAGCAGAACTCTTACTTCTAATTAAACAATGGGAAATTCTGGGGTCCAATTTCCTTACTGGAGTTTGCATTGCATACAGATGGGGGTTGCTTTGATGGGAGAAGGCTGAATATCACATAACTGTATTTCAGCCTCTTTTGTAGAAGATGTTAACATATATGTAATATTTAAATCACCTTCACTGAATATGTGCTGTTACTGTTGTGTTTCAATTACCCGTGTTTTTGAAACATGAATGTTCTCCTATAAAACATCAATCATTGAATAAAAAGCTTTTTCCTACTGTGTATGTAAAGGTGCCTCTTTTTCTATTTTTTTTTTTTTTTTAATGTTACAGTATAATGTCCATCTCGGCTTAGCCTCTTACACTCATGAAGGATTTTAGTTTGCCAAGATAATTGAATTTTATTAGATTTTGGAACTGTGATACGAATTTATCTTTCACTACCTGTGTGAACTCTGTTTAATCCTTGTAATTAATAGAAACTTGCTGAAAAAGCATTAGTTTTTTATTTTTAACTCTAAGGTTTATGATATTCAGTATTCTCTCATAATTTTTGCTTCCAAAATGTTAGGTTTATTACATGGCCTACTGGGTTTGATGATTTGTAAAATAAAATAAAGTGCATAGAAATAACACATAGCAGGAGGTTAAAATTTGGACCACTACCCTGTCCAGTGCTGTCTCACTGAAGAACGAGCCACTAGGTGGCTGTATGTCCCACAGCTGCGGGACCCAGTCTGTGCCAAAAGCATGTCACTGTTTGTGCCAGTATTCAGCTACTAAATCTGGGTACCAATACCCTGTTACTCCTGATGCAGATAGTGATGTGCATGGTGGATTGGATATGATCTAGACTGAGGACAACTACTTTTTGCAAAGGAGTGTGGATTAATCCCAGGTTTGTTTAAATTGGGAGGGTGTTGAGATTGCATTTATCCTCTCTGATCAGTTTGGTTTGTCAACAGGCAAAAAGGATGAACGTAATCCTGCAATACAAAGGTTACATACATGTGGCCCCCAAAAGTCACTTAATCCTAGCCTTGTGGTGTAAACAGCATCTTGTTAAATCTTTTGCACTGGAGAAATGCTGCCACCCCATGTTTCTCTCCTAACTAAATTCTTTTGGATTCCTTTGAACAGTGTCTTCCAAACAGATATTGAGATGGAGAGTGCCTGACTGTGATGATCATGAAAGAAAAGGTGCCGTTCATTCTCTTCAAGTATGTCACAAAAACTCAAGCTTCCGTTCAAGCCAGAAGCTGCTCCACTTTATTAATGATGTGAAAGTGGAGATGAACTAATAGTCGGTTTATGTGTAACCCTCTCCTGGACTTAGAGCATTAATCAGTGGCCCTCATTGGATACCTGGATATAGATTGGCAGAAAAATATCTTACAGTGCAGCTGCATCATCTTAAAGAATTTTATTGGCAAAAATTTCACAGGGACAGTTTTCCCTACTGCATGTGGCTCATCTTGCAAGGAGAAAGAGTTGTGTGTGTCGGCTTCAAAAATGTAAACTGCTTGGAGCCAGGTCCTATCAGTCTGCCTAGAAGCATAAACCTTGGCCTTCATTATGAAAGAGTTCCTTTGCTAATGAACTTTTAGCTATCAGTAATATACCTACAAAGGCATTTTGTTACTAATAACAGGGAAGTCACCATACGTGCTGCCACAGAATTGTTCTGTAGAAGTGTTACGGTCCTACACATTCCTGTTTATCAAGACTTCCCTGAGTTGACGTAAGACGGCATTTCTTAGTTGATGTGATGGAAGCCTTGCCACTTCTTCAGCATCTCCTGCTCATAATGTGTCATACTACAACTAGCAAAGCAAGTGAATGAAAAATAAATAAAAAAGTGCTGTATAAATAGATGTGTTCCATAACATAACATGAAAGCAGAATGTCCTGTCTCAACAAAAACAAACATCTGCAGACAAAATGAACAGCTCTGCTGTGGTGGTGACAATAACAGCCATTGCAGAGATTGCTGGAGAGTATGTGTATCTTGTTGGCTGGTGGGCAGGCAAGGTCAGTGTGGAAACTTGGAAGTGGGGTTGTGTGATAGGCTGCTGGCTGGAAGACCGTGACTGAAACCTGTGTTTTACAGAGACAATCAGTCACACCCCAAGCACATGAGTGTTATCTGGGTAATTGTCTTAATCTGCTAATGAATGTATAGGGTAGAAATAATTGAGCTTCTGTGGCAATTCAGTTTTTCCCATAAATGGATGTAAGTAAATGAGATTTGTGGCACCATTTAAAAACCCCTCAAACCTACAAATAGAAACACCACACAGCTCCAAATACAGCATGCGCACAGACGGCAGGTATGCAGTTGATGATATAATATACACAGAAAGTAGATTGGTGTTCTTGGGACTCCTTTTTTCTTTCCTTTTGTGCTGCTGTTGCTCCTTTGGTTAATCTATATTTAATAACCTAGAAGATGGAAATGGTAACTTGCTTTTCTTACGAAGTAGCTAAACTCTGGATGCTACAGGATATAGAGCACATCCCCTTGCTTCAAATCATCTTAGCCATCATTTGATGTTCTGAGCTTTCGCTTGGAGCATGAGATACAGGGTTGAGCCCTGTAGGTAAGGCATAATTATGTCCTCTATATGAATGTATAATGTGTGTGTGAGAAAGAGAAAGAGACAGAAGGGGGAAGGTGGGGAGAAAGCAAGAGCATTCGAGAGTGTGCATACACTAAACATGTTTACAGTAAACCAGTTAATCTGAAAGCCAGACCGCCTCAGTGCTGTATTGAGAGACCTCCCCTTGCCCTCCCAAAACCATGCTGGCGAAATCTCCACTGGCTTCCCAGCAAGTTGGGCAATATGTTTATCCCCCCAATGCCTTATCACAGCACTGCCTGGGAGCAAGGGACACTGTAAACAACCAGTGACCCACAGACATGCAGCCTCGTGCCTGACTCCACTGCTTCAGCTCTTAGGCTCCACAAGCAACAAGTAATTAGCTCCTGGTCTTCTGCAGAAAAAATGCCATTCAGCTCCTGCCCACTCTGGAAAACACTGGTTTTTATAAGTTTATCAGTGCTTCTTGCAGGTAAGATACACCATTCCTGAATATGGCTCACAATTATTTAAATAGTGTCTGTCTTAGAGAAATGAGGCATCCCACTTGGGAACCCAGCCCTGGGTGGCCACAAACAGGCAGACAATCAGCTTGCTAACTGTTCAGAATAAATTAACCTTTGCACAGTTTATTCACATTTGAGCCCCAATCACCAAAGGTATACAAAGTAGCACTAGGACTGCAGAATAGTGGCACAATTGCCTTAAACAAGTGCTGTTATGTGTTATCTGGGATTTGTTCATGTGTTGGGAAGGATTATTAACCAGCTACATACCTGTTTCTGTTTGTCTTTTAGATTTTACTGAAATCGGAGCTTCTGCTAATCCAAATGAATGCAAGAGTGCAACCATAGATGATGTCAATGAGAGTCTTAAGGTAAGAGGGTGGCTGCATCAGCCAGCCCAGGTCCTGCTTTGCATGCAGTCTGTGGTGGTGGGGAGGAGCAGGGCCCCACTGTGTGTGCCTATACAGCCTGAGCACATCTTGCATATTGCTTTGGTGACACGTGGCTCGAAACAACAGTACATGGCCCAGAGGGGAGTAAGATGGAAGAACAGAAAAAGATCAGTGTCATTTGACTTACACCTTTGGCCCTGATGCTGCTAGTCAAAAGTATAGTCTTTCTAGGGGTATTTTCCAGTTTTGCTTTGCTGCAGATATAAAAAGTGACTTGAACATAAACAATTATGTCTTTTGTTTTACAAGCATAATGCTGTTTTCAATCTCTTCTATTTATTATTTCAAATATAAAGTTCTAGATATTTTAAATACAAGTAAAGCCAGTCAGCTGACAGCCTATGTTTTATGAGTTAGTGTCCCTGTCTTCTATGGGCTAGGCCTATCATAAGGAAGTGATCAAACAGTGACCCTTGAATACGGCAGAAATGGTAAAGAAATACCAGGACAGAGTCTATAAAAATTTTTTCACACACAGTTGAGCCACCTATCTGTGAAACAGTGATGTGGAACTGATAGGTGGAGTTGGGTTCTTGTGCCAGTACCATACTGTGAGCTTCTCCCTGGAGTATCATCCTCATCACTTGGGAGGGGAAGGCTGAGGACAGCCAAGGAGGTGTTCTCCCAGGTGTCTGAGCTTTTTTGCCCTAGAGATTTTAATTATATTATTTTATTTCTATAACTGATGTCCATCATTTTCAACAATACTTCTGCAAGCTCCAGCCTGAGAAGCAGAGTTAGCCATTTCTGGCTCCTGCTTCATCAGCTGCCACTGAAAATTTGACTTGCTCTTTTTCTTGTATGTGTGTGAGTTCAAAGTGGCTGGTGTCTGTTATAATGATGGCATGCACTGGTATTTTGGTTGTGGAGTTCAGCATGGCTCTGCAGTAGGCACATATGTGTATAGGCACACATGGATGGAGCGAAAACTATTTATACAGGTATACAGCAATACCCAGTTAAAATGCAGGAATGTGTTCACAAATATGTATTTTTACACACACAGAGAAAGTCTGTGATATCAGCATTCAGCAGATAAGAGTAACAACCTAATGTTTCATACAGAAAGAAGTTACATACAGTTGTTTATAAAGGCATCTTTTTGTATATAAGAAAAAAACTCCAACCTACACCAGTCCTCCCTCTTGAACTCAATACAATGAAAATACCCTATCTAACCACTGTTTAAAAAAAAAAAAAATTGTTTGATTTCTTCCAAAAGCATTGTGGGAACACTAGTGTTACTTACAGCTAGATCATTTTCAAGATGTTTCATGTTCTTCATTAAAAAAAATAATTAAAAATTTCCGCTCTCATAAATTAACTCAAAGTCCTTTCCTCTTCAACTTATCCGTTTTCTTCCCTAACTCCACAGAAATATTCAAACTGTTTTCATGAAATGATCCCTGAGGGTAAAAAATCTTCTATCAATTTCCTTGTCTGGACACTGCAAGAAACACTTGATCTCCTGCGCCCTGCTCAAGAGAAATGTGAGGCCCCTCTTGAAGCGATGCTCCTCTCTGCTGGGTGTTGAACAAAGTGGCAGTGGGGAAGCACTAAGAAAATTTCTTTACCTACAGTCAGAGCAAGCTAAGTGTCTGCATGTCTCGAAGGGGACAAAGAATAAGATAAAAGGCACCTCAGCAAAGCAAGGGTGCTTAACCACTGGGCTGGCAGGCATCTGGGAGGCATGGCAGCACCAACGCGTGGGGCCCCACCAT